AAAAATCCAGAAGAAATATTTAGCAAATTTCTTTTCTTTTACTGCCAAGAAAACTAATGGACATGTCCATAAAATCACCCGGACTTGGTTGATTTGACCAAACCTTCAATTACAATCAAGTGGCTACCAGCCTTTTATCATTTTGAGGATTAACCATTTGCTTTTGTCCTACCTCTACTGGGCAACAGAGAAGACTGATACACGACGACAGAGTTTCTTTTTTTAGCAGGGCAACCCTAGCATTAGAACTTGCACACACATATGTAATTGGAGATCAAACAGTAAACTGAACTCCATGTTTAAAAGAAGTGGTGTATCTTTATATGCATTTTCATTTTTTTACCTTTACAAGGGGGAAATGAAAACATATTGAAAGAGGTTCTAAATCTACAGGTTGTCAACTTCACGTTTCCCCATGGAAAATGCTACAGTGGGAAAAGACAGCCTAAAAATGCTTGTTTGGAGTGCATCAAAATTGCCTCAGATGCTTTCTCAGTCATACACTTAGGATCACCTCAGTCCATATTTCTTTCTTAAGCAATTCCCAGAACAACATGACTATAAATAAAAGGTTCTGATGTACATTCCAGATTGTGGTTATGTAAAAAAAAAAAAAAGGGTGGAGAAAAATGGGACAAGCATGTATTGCCTTATATGAAGAACAGCCACTGTGAACGTAACAATACCAAATGCTGGGCTGGAGCTACAGGTTCATACAATCATGATTCAACTTTAGCAACATCTGTCAGATGTACAGGCATGCGTTCTTTAAAACACTGAATCCAATTTCAACCTTCTTGAGCAATAAGTAAAACAAATACCCTCAAAGGCAAGCCGAGGATCAAATAAACATTGAAAAAGAGTCTCACTACTTTTAATCCAGAACATTGCATCATTATTATTATCGTATAGCTAGTGTAGAGGAAAATTTAAAGAAAATAGAACAAAGTCTGCTGTTTTTAGTAAATATTCAGATGCTTGCCTTCATAGCCATCAACCATTCTTTATAAATTATTCTATTTTCTTTACCTCTCTCATAATTTTGCCTATGAAATAATAACTCCATTTTGCCTGCTTTGAATTCATATTTAGGACAACTAAAAACAGATTTAGCAAAATATAAATGTAGCGTATCAAATTAAAATATAATTACTTGGTATATCAGAATTATTACAAATTTTTCAAGAAATCTATGTACACAAAACCTTGTTTATTTCAATGAAGCTATAGATGAAAAAAATCATTACTATTTTATTTTTTTTTGCTGGAAACATTTCTTTAACAGCTAAATGTGGGAGAATACTCAGTATGCAGCAGTTGCATGTTTCAACTTAATAAATTCCTTCAGGGCAAGTGAAATAAGCATACAGCTATTCATTTTAGAAACTGGACTTCTGCCTAGCAGCAAGGATAAGTTTTCCTATTTCAACCTTAACTGTCTATAGTGCAGAACAGTGTCCCTGTTCTACAAGGAAGTACACTAGCAGGAAAGACATGTTTGCATACGTGAAAGCATATTTGAAATCTGTTACCGATAGGCCTCTGCATTCTGTTATGAGTGCAGTGAAAAATAAAGCTATGAATGCTCCTTTTAAAACAAGACCAGTATAAGTTTTATAATAATTCTGATATATTTTCTTCCAAATTGCACTATCATGATGAAGTATACATTTTCATTGTGAAAAATATGTGGGTTTCTTCCTCACTGAATTCTCAGCAGAAGTTTCTGTCCCTGTTTAAAAGGAAAGGTAAAGATAGCAAAAGATTTTTCCCCTACAAAGAAAATATTTTAAGTAAATTGTATTTTTATTTATATCTCTTTCTCCCTCCGCCCCGATTTAATCAGTAATTTCAAATGTTCAGAGCACATTGCAAAAAGCATAATGCATTGATACATGTACTGTATTATACTTTGAGAATTTTAAGCAGGTTGTATTCTAAAATAGAAAAAGAACAGGAACAAAACATAAGTGTTCCAACAATAAGCAACCTTTCCTGTCACTCCCAGGTCGAAATGTTTGAACCTGTCACCTTAGATATAACACATGCGCACGCTTGCATCTTAAACAAGGACTGGCTCTTTAAATCTAAGAGAATATGAACCACGTGCACAATTCCATACTTCTGTGTTCCTGGTTGGGAGCTGCACTGCAGTTTTTACTAGCTCTGCATGCAGTTTTCTCATGCTAAAGTATTAAAGGGGAAAGGTAACATAGAGACACAAACAAAGCTCACATTATACTGTATCCTTTTGTTCTGTCAGAGAACTCAAACTGGACAGTTCAATTTGCCATACCTATCTTTAAAAAGCTGCCACTTTGGCAAACAAGCAAGAAAAACCAACAAGCATTGTGTAATTGCTGTTTACCCTTTATCTGTGCACTAGGGGGCAACTGCTACTGACTACTGAATTGCGCTGCTGCAGCTACCATCACTTCCCTCAGTATTAATGTAGCATTAAATCTATGGATATCATCGAACATCTTCGTTAGCGGCAAATATTTTGTTCATTTTAAAACTTCAAGGAGCCTAGAGCACCAATAAATACATTGTCAGCCCATTCTCTATTTTCTTCCTAACAACCCAGTAAAAGATCCCTCATGCAGCACTGCAACATCCCAACTGGGAAAAACAAGGGCAACAACCACTATTAAAGGCAAAATTGGGTTCTAGCCTCACACCAATACCCATTTTCAACTGTCTGATCTTCTATAATGTCATAACAAAATTAAGGTCCTGGATGAATAGAATCTGATTTCGTCTTCAATTAAATCAGGCCTAGGCACTTACAAGCTATCGGTCTGAATTTTAGTAAAGATGCATCTTAGCATCAAATGACAACGCTTTTTTAAAACAATCGTCTCAGTTTGTACATCGTACAACATACTAAGCATCTGCATGAAAACCAGGCAATGCTCTTTAAAAAGAAAGCCAGGTTAGCAAAGGCCTTTTTGCATCAGAGTTAATCTCTGAAGGATATTCATGTCTGTATTTCCCGTGGCACCAAGATAAGGCCAGCTCCTCTATTAGGGGAGTCTGTGATTATTACATTTGCATAAATGTTGCAGAATTTACTGAATTTTCATTTACTAAAGAAAAGGCGACTTCTCTATATATGGAAGCTATTTGTATGTGTGTGTGTGTGTAACAAATAATATTGGCCCAAATTAATGGTATTCTATTTGTTATTTCTCCCAAGATACCACATAGCAGTAATATTAAACATGGCTGAAAAGAGGTCTTATAATTAAATGTATCAGAGGCAGAATTGAATTGTAGGTGTTCCAAGATCTTAATCCATATAAAGCTTTGTAAATATATTTTTGCACCCACTTTCATTCAAATAAATACTTATCTTGCACAATCATGTTTAAAAAAAGAGAACCATTTCATGTGGAAAAGGAGGAAGGAAAAAAAAGCACTATCTGCTTCATGCTGCAAAAAATAAATGCCAAAAGATTACTGGAGAATTTTCTAGATCTGCAATACTCAGCTGTTCTTTGAAGTCTTGCACTTGCCTTCTCAGCACTGAGCACAGGCATTTCAAATTAAAATGTACTTCATTAAAATATGTTCCTTTTGCTAGGATTTGGTCCTGATATGGCCAATTTGCTCTTCAGAAAAAAAAAAGATCTCAGCATATTGCCACAAATATATACAAGATTGGAATAATAATCCAAAGGATAAAAACCACATAATAATATTCCAGTATTCCAGGACAAAACATTTCACTTGCATCATGCCTAGGTCTGAGGCCTTAATTTATGAAGAGAAGGACAATGCTTTATCCTACCACAGTGCAGTTTCTTTATATAATCACAATTTGCAAAATGAACTATTAAAACAATGAACCGAATCTTGCTGCAGTAAGGCTCAACCATTACCCCTGTACTCCAGCTGATTCATTGTATTAATGGATTTATGAATCCTCATATTGCTTCCTGATTTATTATTTCATGATTTCTATTTCAGGTGCATGAACTAAAAAGAAAATACAAGACATGTCCTCTGGGTAGTCTAACCCAATTATAAAATAGTTTTCTATATTTAACAAAAGTATGGGTTTTGCCTATCTACCAGTTTTCCAATTACAACAAAATTAGGTCACAGCACATATCTGACTATACCATGTTGAGAAATAACAAATATTTTACAATTTTATTTTTTCATCACCATTTTAAGGGTTTGCTATCTCAATAAAAAAAATACTGAATATTCAAACCTAAGCACAGCTAATAAAATGCAATATATTGTCAAGATTTTCACCGCATTGTTTAAATGGCAATTTCTAGTGGTAATTAATGTTTATAAGTAGAAAAATCGGTACTACTCAGCCTATTTCCTTATAGCAAATGGCTACCCTCCAATAGAAAAAGCTCTCTGAAATAGTCCATATCTATTTTTAGTAATGACTTATAATCTACTACTAAAATATATTGCCCTTCCTAACAGAGACCAACTCAACATTTTAAGATTGTTATTTGAGCTACATTTAAAAACACATATATTCCAAACTGAATCAAAATGAAAATTATGCTTGCTGTACAAAGCTGTAGATGTATTTTCTATAGTTTTAGGAACCGGTAATTATTAATTGCACATAATTCTATCATATTTTAAAAGGAGCACTGCTTCAACAGTTTTTGTGCTTTAGGATTTTATTCAGTTATAAGGATAGCTCCAATTATTGCTCTTGTAGTTGTTTTATTGATCAGATAATACTGATTTGACAGCAAGCTAACTAGATAATAGATTTTCTATTTAGTTTTAGGTATTTCTCTGACAAACACTACACAGAGCATCCATGATTCAGATATGACCAACCATGGCATGAAATGTCAAAGGATGAACTACACATTTAGGTGCATTTTTAAAATTAAGTTTATAATTTTGCATTTTTAATATCTGAAGCAATGCAAAGATAAAACCTTGCAATTTATGCAGTCTTTCCTAGATATCTTTATACAGCACTCTATCTCATATTAATAAAATGATCTCACCTGAAAGGGAAAGATATTGTCAGCTCTGTTCAAACTGTCTTCCATCCAAGATTTTGGAGCAAAAACGGAACTGGGTCGTGCATACTTCTGCAACTGGATATGATTATTTGGAAAATTCTTCTTCAGGGGTGAGATGGAATTCAGGGGTGTTATTCCTCCATTCAGTCCCCTGCGGTGATCTCGCCCTTGGGACCCACCCCACCCACCACATCCACCACCAGGACTCCATGAGGAAGATGGTGTAGGTGATGGGCTTTGGTAGCTGCTCCATGGAGAGGGTGGTTTGTTAAGATTATTAGCAAGATGAGGCAGTTGATTAAAAGCAGCATTTCTATGTGTAAATGGAGGTGGATGAGGGCTTGCAGGAGACCTCCTCTGTTGTTGATGCTGATTGTGATGATGTTGAAAATGGGGGTGATGAGGGTGGTGCTGAGAGAGGGGTCCAATCTGAGGGGAAAAACTACCCCCAAAACCAGGACTGACATGATGTGGAAAATTCTGAAACAGCAGAGCACCATTATTTGCTGAAGCAGGAGGTACCCCTCCCTGGTGGAAGAAACTGGCATCTTCATTTATTATTGTTGAAGACGAAGGAGCTATAGCTGCTGCTGACCAGTTACTGAAACCAGTCAGAGAAGATGCAGTAGATGTCAGGGGCTGGCTTGAAGTACCTAGCCCTGTAGCCTCTTGATAATCAAATCCTGTTAACACTGGCGATTCTATTCTTATTTTTTCCTTCCCATTGCCATTTTCAGAAGAATTATCCCCCTGGCTTTCTTCAGATTTAGCTTTCTCAGAATCAGGCAGCATGCCTGCTTCCTGACTTTGACTAGGGGAAAGCTGCTGTTTTTCTAGGGAGTCTTGTTTTTCCTGTTGTTGACTTTTAGATTTTTCTGACCCCAGAATCTCATCCTGAATATTATGGGCAGCTGGAGCAGGAAAAAGCCAAGCTGACCCAGCACTACTGCCATTGGCAGCTGTGTTATTTATAAAAGCAGCAGGATTGGGGGCTGCATTTTGATGGTGATGTGGAGGCTGCAGATGTGGATGAAATCTGACTGGAAAAGCTGACTTATTCCCAGTGTTGTTCTGCACTAACACGCCAAACCCGTAATCCCCCATTTATTTTATTTAGAATCTGAATTCCTCCTGGAAAGAGAAAAAAAAATCTTTAAATGGTTTTCTTCTACTAAAGCAACAGAATAGAAAATATCTTTTTATGACAACTTTCTTCCTACCCACTTGAGATATCTGATTTGGATATATTTCCTGGATTCTTGTAAGTGAGATCACTTAAAATATTGACATGGGTCAATTTGTGTTCACTTCCTTCTAATAGCCAGAAGGAATGGAAAGTAAATCTTTGGTTAACAAAATAAGAGCTTTCCTTTTTTAAAAAGGAAATACACAAGAATGAAGTGGGGATGAAAGAAAGTTCCAGGGAATTTTTCTTAAAAAAAGATATATATAGATATATATAGATATAATATATATTAACTTTCTTGTCTTACCAACTGCCTCAACCTGCTCATGTACACATTAATGAAAAAAAGATACCATGACATCTGGTACTCCTCACTCCTTCACAGCTCCAAAAATATATTTAAATCTGGAATCATTTAATAAATTCTATATAATCTAATATATATCTGTGTTCTACTCTAACAGTCTTTGCTGTGGAAAATGTAAAGATTTTAGCTCAGGATTTCTTTAGGGAAGCAATTTCTAGAAGAGAAACCTCCCTCCCCCACAACCTGTGCTGCTACTGCCTTTGCCTGTAGGACTATGAATAATATGACTTATGCGGATGCCCTTCTGACAAGGCCTTTCTATCTCAAGAGGGAGGGTGTGAGGATTTGTTCCTTTTTCTGATCTCTAAATATTGGCATTCAGTGAGTGCTGAGTGTATGTGTACAGACTGAGTTGAGCGGGCGAAGGGTGGATTCTTGCTGCTGCTGCTGCTGCTGGCTGGCTGGGTGGGTGGGTGGGTTCCTGCTTTTTGAAGCTCGCCTTCTATTATGATCCGATATTTACGTGTCCTTCAGATGAATCCTGGCTGCCTGCAGAGGAAAATTTTCACCTCAGAAAATCAGCAGTCAAGTGTCTGGAGGGGGATGGAGGAAAAATACCCAGACAGCATAAGGTTAAGACATTTTTTTTAGAAAGCCATCAGCAGAATAATTGATTGGGCAAAAAACGAGAGAAGGGGCTTGGGCTCAAATCCATACACTGATAATATCTAGGAAAGGGAGGCGAAGCTTCCTTTTGATGAGATTTCTTCGCGGGGGGAGGGAAGGAAATACAGGTCTGATGCCGCCCTTGCTCTCTCTCAGAGGTAAGAGCTGGCAGCAAAATGGGGATTTCACCACCACTACCCGCGCAGAGGGGAGGACTTTACCTCTGGAGGGGAGCAGTCTCCGCCGGGGAGGGGACGACGCTGGCGGGGAGTCGGACTCCTCTCTCCCCCATGGGAGCCGGTTTCTCAAGGGAGGAGGGTCACGAGGATCACTTAGTGGCGAAAGCGCAGGGAAGGGCCGAATCAAGGCTGGCTCTTATGGAGGTGGTGGAGGAGGAGGAGGAGGAGGAGGAGGAGGGTGAGGAAAAGAGGGAAGCGGTGGTGGCGGCGATAGCGGTTCCCAGGGGTCCTGCCTTTCCTCCCACTGCCGATCCTCGGGGGCTGCGACTGCTTCTCCTCCGCCTCGGCTCCTCCCGGCGTCGTTCTTTGCCCCTCATGTAAAACAATCGTCGATCGGGAGGGTGGAGGGAGGCTCCTATTAAATCGCGAGACGCTGGGCTATTCTGTCAATACGCCGGTGCGTCAGCCCGGCCCGGCCGCCTCAGCCACCGCCGCCGTCTCCACAGGACCGAGCCTCCGATCGAAATGACAACCAGCTGGAGAGAGGCAGCGCGACACTTCCGGTTCAGAGAAGCTCCGCCCCCCCCGCTCCCCCTCCCTTCTCTGCATGGGCCACGCCCCTTCTCCCTCAGTCTCTAGGCCGCCCTTTTCTAGCCAGAAGAGGGACTGCGAGAGTCGCCCTCCCTTTTACATAAGGGCAAATGGGGCGGCGCTGCGTCCGCCATTCTAGCTTCGGGCAGTTTTCTTCCCCTCAGAGAAGTTGAGCGGCCATGTTGGGTTAGGTAATGAAGCCAAGGAGTCTGTTAAATGTATAGTTTGGTCTAAGCAACCATTTTTGAGTATGGCAGGCGTGAGCTTTTCATTGGCTCATTGTTTCTGAAAGTCAGTTTATTTGGTGGAGTGGGTTTTTTAAGCATCCGAAGAAGTTTCTGGGTATATAAAATGTTGTGATCTGTCTTGAAATTATTCTTGATAAAACTGGCATACGTTTTAAATCCCAGTCATAGATCTTAGGCAACAACTTAGATGAATCCTTGATAAAAAAAAATATTTAACTGGAATATGACATTTTCCATTGTGATTTTGGAGGCCCTATAAAGAGAGCCACAGCTCTCCTTATGAATGTAATATTCACAGTTTGTTGTTGTTTTAACCATTCAGTCTTGTTCTGCTCTTGGTGACTTTATAGGCACAGCAGTGGCTTATTTCCTTAAAGTCTGTCTGAAAAGTCATAGATCCATTATTTCTAGTTGGTTCTCTTTCATCAAATTTACCCAATCTGATGTTCTCCAGATAAGGTATACCTTGATACCCATTGCTTCTCATTGATGGGAACTGCTTCCCAGTAGGGAAGACAATCTTTAGATTATTGAATCAACCTTAAACAAAAAAAGATATTGCTTTATCTATTTTTGAAGACCTTGGGTTTGTCACACCAGAATAAGGCTGCCAACCATGGCATTTCCATACTATGGACTAGCCTGTTTGAGTGACATCACATATATTTATTTCCTCACCAAAACACGTGTCTGTTAAGATGCCAAAATGAAGAATCACCACTGCAATTTAACCATTCTATAAGTATTACTCTCCTCTTTTCAAGCCATCCTCTCTTGTTATTAATACCCACAGTCATCATGCATTCAGAGTTAACAACTACATCTGTGAAGAAGTCATTAATTTGGCATTTGTAATGTAGTGTTGCTGAATAAATGGCTTGGATGTTACATCTGCCGATGTTCATCACTTACATTTCAGCACACCTTTTGCAGTCTGTTTAGTTATCCGGTTACAGAAGTTCTAGACTTTATTATCATTACATATAATTGAGGTCTGGCACCTCTTGTTTGCTCCAGTTTGTACGGGATGTATTAGGCCTTTTTTTAGGACAAACTGTGTATAAATATCCAAGATATGCTGGTGAATTTAGTTGCACAGATGACTATACCCTTAGTTTCTTTCTTTATAGGAATTTAACTATCAACAAGCAAAGTGAAATATTTGATAATATGAACAAAAATAAGAAAGCTTTTGGAAACAGAAGAGCTTTCAGATAAATACCCTAGTGCTTCTAATCAAGAGACACTATACAGTTTTTTTCACCTTTTTCTTACCACCTTTGTGTGGTAATAAAATTGATTTAATTAGTTTTTGTGGGAAAATATAGGAAGATTACAATAGAAGATGACTATGACAGGATCACCCACACAATTTTATATTGTGATTATACAAACACATTTTCACTGAGAAAAATACCTGGTATATTATTTTCCTCTAGGTATATGTATATACACACATATACATGTTGCACATATGATAAAGTACACTCTGTATGGAGAAGATCTTCAGTGTAATCCCTATTGTATCAATGAATAAGAAATAGTGGGAAAGAGTTTCTGTACAGTCGTTTTCTCAAATAGTCTTTGACGCAGCACGAGCAAGTACTGTATGAGGCAGCTTCCTACACAGTTATTTAGGATTCAGTATCAAAGGACACATTTCTTAGCCTTTTCCACACAGTTCAGTTGAAGTGCCATTTTCCCAATCTTGACCAGTAGAAAAAAAAAACTACTGGAATGAAATCTGCTGCCCAATTGCTGATCCCTATCCTGCTTCAATTACTTCTGTTCACTTAATGTCATTCAGCTAATTCCCTTCCAAATTAACAAGAAAATTCTACATTAACTTCAGTATAGCCAAGAGTAAATGGCTTAACTCTGTCTCACTTGTGGTCTGGGGATAAGAAAAAAGGCATCTTATGCTGAAGGGGGAAAAAAGATTGCCAGGGCATCTTTGTGCTGTGGTTCAATGAAAAGAGAAAAGGCCTTACATGGGAACAAATGAAAAAAAGTTACATACTTAAAGGTGGGGAGCATTTATTAGAACTCCTGGATTACAGCAGACTTGAATGATGTTATTGACTTAGACTCCACCCAAAAGTCCTTTTCCAAATGCTGCTCCTCAGAATCAAATCACTGTGAACTTCCCTGCACATGAAAATCTCAGAATTCTCTACTTCTTTTGCAGATCAGTCTGACTTTGAGGGACTGGAGTTTGCAGAGGAGCCTTTTAGCTAGGCACAAGAAGCTAAATCAAGAGCCATATATCCTACATCAAGCCTATACAGGAAGGAGGCTCCTTCAATTCTGCCATATGTTTTCAGTGAATTGTGAAGATTTAAATACCACATGTGTATAAAAGATCATACTGAACATTTGGTTTAAAGACAGTTCTGAAAAAGTCTTCCTTTCTTGAAAATTAAAATACGGCATTGTCCTGGCACCAAATGTCCAGGCTGTACTGGAAGACAAAGCTGTACTGATAAACAAAATGAACATTTGCTCAGCCTCAGCAGTTTATGGCATTGGTACTTTTTAAAAAAAACAGTAATGAGGTATTAAGAAAATGGTAATATATTCAGATGCATTAAAATAGTAGTTTTGTACATAAAGTAGTCAGACTAATGAACAAAAATTGGCCAGAAACAAGCTTTTATCCTGTTGTAGTAGATAACTAAGTTTCAAACAATATATTATGTAGATTTTTTTTAAAGACTTAATAAAAATTTTGAACACTCCCCTAATCCAATAAGTTTGGGGCAACAAACTTACTTTCTTCCCAAGGAACAGTTTTGCCTTACAAATCTGTGCATGCTTACTTGAGAGTTACTATTATTTACTTCCAAGAAAACATATAATTATGTGGACTGCACATAATTGCCATCAATTATAGTTATCTGTAGTTGTTGTCTTGCCTAAGTAACCCC